CTCTCTCTCTCTCTCTCTCTCTCTCTCTCTCTCTCTCTCTCTCTCTCTCTCTCTCTCTCTCTCTCTCTCTCTCTCTCTCTCTCTCTCTCTCTTCTTGCTCTCTTGTTCTCTTTTTCTCTATAGCTCTTTCATTTTATGATCCCATAAAGGTTTTGCGGCGGTTTGGAGGGCTTTTGCGGGGTTTTGTGGGGTTTGGAGGGCTTTCGCGGCGGTTTGGAGGCTTTTGCGGCGGTTTGGAGGCTTTTGCGGGGTTTCGATGGGTTTTGTGCGATTTATACACGGTTTTGCGGGGTCTTAAGCGTTTTTTTGGCGGGGTTAGGTGTTTTTTAGGAAAAATCAGTGGCGTAAAAACGCGTAAAGTGGCGTAAAATCGCATAAAGTGGCGTAAAATACCGTAGTTGCGTAAACGCTGTTTTTGCGCGCTTGTGTTAACGTGCTCAAGCCCCTTTTTAGGATGTCGAACATCCGGGATTCAGTAGAAAGCAAGCGCATCTACGATCCCTTTTTCATTTTAGGACAGCGAGGGTACGAGCGTTTTCAAACTGAGATTTTCTTGGACATATGCCGTTGGTCACCTGTGCAAGCTTTGAGGGCACAATGCATCACTGCCTGTGCGCGTGAGTGTGATTGATGTGCAATGCAGTTTTGTGGGTCACGTTTTGCTTGACTTGCGTTTTCCTTCATGTGCAGAAATTTTCTTGAACGGGTTGCCATCCCGGCTTGCAACGCAGTGCTCAAGTGTGAGCGCCACAGAGAAAATTTTAGTCGTGTTGAGCCTCCGCTACTCCCGTACGGGTGCCGTGCTAGAGGTTCGAGGTGCTAGTGGTCTCCCCTTAGGGGTCGTGCAAGCCGGGGGCCTGTGTGCTCTCGGTGGATGGACAGCACCTCGAGTTCAGAGGAGAGTTCCCTCAGCGGGGACTGGCCACCCGTGCCTGTCGTTCAGGCGCCTGCCTTTCAGGCGCTCAGCGTCAGGCCTCGCTCGTTCCACCTTGAATCACTCGAGCGCAGCCTGGAGGCCCCCCCCTAGTCTCTTCACGTACGTTCTTGAGGGTTCTCTTTGCGGAGTGCTTCTCAGTTCCAGGGAAGGGGCCCGCGTGCTCCTCTGGCTCCAGCCTTCCAGTTGGCTTGCACTTGCTTGCTCCGGCCGCGGGCCGCACGCGTGCGCCCGACAGCTTCTCCAGCTGTCTGCATAGTGCCCTTTATCCACATGGCTCAGCCCCCTCGTGCCCCAGAAGATTTGCTAGCTGGGGGTTTGGGTCCTGGGTCCCTTCGTGTGCCTGAGGACAGCGACCGGCGGAGACAGGCAGAGGTGCCTGTTCAGGATTATGAGGCTCATTTGGCTGCCTGCACTCGCAAGGTTAATAAGACGGGCTATTCTCGGTCTTGGGATTTTCGGTTGAGGCCTTCTTCAGTGCTCTTTACCGGTGTGGTTAGGTCACGAGGCATGTTCCCACCAGTGCCGTCTCTTGTGCCTGTGATCACTCCAGTGCCGCCAACCGTTGCTGCAGTCACGAAGATTGCGATTTCCCGGGTCCGTTTGGACGATTCTTGGGGTGCTCACCTTGAGAGGAGGCTTAGTGCTGCCATACAAAAGTGGGTTGCTTTAGTGGTTGAGGATCCTTTGTCTTTTGACGTCGGTAGGCGGTGTGCTGCTTTCGTGGGAAATGACGAGGCGATTTCTCAGGGCCTTCTGCACACTTTTTCCGGTAAATCAGCAGGTACCTTGCACAGCCGTGCTGGGCCTCTCATCAGGTTTGTTGCCTGGGCCAAGGCTCGCCAGTGCAAACCCTTACCCTTCAGCGAGGCGCTTTTGTATGATTTTCTGCTTGAATCCGAGAGCACTTGTGCGCCGTCATTCGGAAAGGCGCTGATGTCTGCACTTGCATTTTGCAGATTTGTGCTGGGCGTTGAGAATGTTTCTGATGTTCTGAGCAGTGGTCGGTTTGGGGGCTTGGCTCGTTCGATGTTCCTGAACAAAAGGAAGCGACGGCAGAAGCCACCCCTCACCGTTGACATGGTGAAGGCCCTTGAGAGATTGGTGATCTCCGAACGTGAAGGAGATATCGACAGGCTGTGTGCGGGGTTCTTCCTCGTTTGTGTTTTCCTTCGAGCAAGGTTTAGCGATGCCCAAGGTCTGAAGAATCTTGCAATCGATGAGCCTGAAGGTTTTGCTGGCCGCTTGACAGGATATTTTCAAGGGGAAGCTTCAAGGACAAAGACGAGCTTCTCGCTGGAAAGGAAGACGGCTCTGCTCCCGATGGTAGGGCCACTTTTCGGCCTGACTGCAGTTCCTTGGTTTAAGACTTGGTTAGGTCTCCGCGAGGACATGGGCATCCCTGAAGGCGAGGACTTTCCTTTGCTGCCGAGTCGAGGGCTAGAAGGGGGTTGGGCTCCGGTCCCCCCTTCAGCTACGGTGGCCGCTGCATGGCTCCGGGGGATTCTTATTTCTCGTGGCTTCCCTGAGGCACGCAAGCTCGGGACTCACAGCTGCAAATGCACGTGTCTTTCTTGGCTGTCGAAGCACGGAGTTGATCCTCTGCATCGGCGTGTTTTGGGGTATCACAAGGCTCCGCAGGATGAGATGATGCACGTTTATGGGCGTGACAATGTGTCTCCAGCCCTGAGGTCGCTGGAGGCTGTCATCCAGGACATCAGACAAGGCCAGTTTTTGCCGGATGTCACGCGGTCGGGTTACTTCCCGACCCAGCCGCAGAGGGAGCCTGGGCCTGAGTTCGTTGAGGAGCCATCGGAATCCGAAGTTTCGCTCGATGAAGAGGACAATGTGCAAGACTTGAGAGCAGAGGAAGCGGCCGCTGATCAGGTTGTGCCGCCTTGGGCTGAACTTGTGGTTCAGGATCCTGATGCTCTGGTTTATGTTCGCCATATAACTTCAAGGAAGTTGCACCGCCTCGCTGACGAGAGTGGGAATCGGCTGAAGTGCGGAAAGGCGTGCACGCGAAAGTTCGAGAGGCTCAGTGAGAAACCAAGGTTTATGGCTGACATGTGCTTGAATTGTTTCAAGTGAGCCCGGCTCAACTGAGGGGCAGCCGGATCACTCGGCGCATGGGTCGTGTCTTTGTGACGCAGCCGGATAGACTCGGCTATGCACTCACCGGTCCTCGCGGTGAAGTTTGATTATGTGAGCAGTTGCACCGGTGCTCGCGGTGCTTTGGTGTGCCGGTCCACTCGGTGAGCTGAAAGTGCTCAGGTTAACCGGGGCACGCGGTTTTGGATGGAAGTCAACCATGACTTGAAAATGTGGCTGTACGGTGCTGTGGTTCCGTGAATGTTGCGATTTGCATACGACAATGCCTTGTGGTTGTGAGTGTAAACTTGAGCATACAGTTTTGGCTGAAGGATCGTGTAGTGCACTTGCAGGACCATTCGCCATGGCCATCACCGAGAGCAAGGCAAACTTTTCTTCCAGGGCGACGGCCTTGGGGTTGGCCGCTGACGTTTTGAAGAAGTTCACTGATGCCGGCATTGATTGCATGAGCAAATTTGCCTTCATTAGTGCGTTCGTGCCCGGCAACACTGACGAGTCCCCTTTTACCGATGCAGTTGCTGGTGTGTTGGGGCGCGCTGCTAATGTGGCAGAGTTGAGCGTGCTGCGCAGGCTTCTTCATGAGAGCTACAACCTCACTGTCTCAGAGCTTCAGGTGCAGGTTGAACGAACGGAAGATTCTGCTCCGAGGCGGTTGGCGGCTCCCGATCGAGCCGATAGGCTTCAGCGGCAACAAGTCAGGCTTGCTGGCTTGAACATCCATGGCCCTACTCTCCCGGGTCATTCGGTCATCGATCGTTGTGTTCAGATGTATGAGGATAATTCTCTTTCATACCTACCTTTGCAGTCTTGTCCCTGCCGGGATGATGAAGTGAAGTTCAAGAAGGACCGGGATGACAAGATGCTTGCTGTGGATGGCACGGGGCACGTGTCTCTTAGGTCGCAAGCCGTGAAAGTGGAGGCCGATGTGTCCACTGACCTTTTGCTTAAGCATGCACTTACACGTCGTGGGCTTGCGCTGGACCAAGCTGGCATTCTGAGCTTTGCGGAGCATGAGCGTTGGTCTGAGGCGTTGTTTCAGGCTCGATTTCGGGATCCGCCCGACCAGTATGCCCGTGTCACGCTCCAGCAACTCATCCAGGCGGACAGGCAGGTTTTTGTTGAAGCAGCTGATCGGACCCGCCAGGGGATTCAGGTGGTGGCTTCCGGACGACCGGTCGATCGCATTTGGAGTGACGCCATGTCTTGCAACAATGTCACTCACCTGCTGCAACCCTTGCCCTTGCCTCCGCCAGCTCCTTTGCATCCACGGCCTGGGCCCTATGATGACCGCAGGGGTTTGAAGGGTCGCGGTCGGGGTAAAGGGAAAGGTAAAGGCAAGGGAAATGTTCGTATGCCTGCTGAGCTGTCCGATGGGGTGCCGGTCACCCGGGGCTTGCCCATCTGCTTCGACCACAACTTGGGGCGGTGTCAGCGTACCGTCACTAGTGGCAAGTGCGATCGTGGTCTTCACATTTGTTGCATCAAAGGTTGCTTCAAGCGGGATCATGTCTATACAAATTGCCCCAAGCATAAGAGGGAGTGACTAGGCTCTGAGGCGCAGGTCCACGTGACTGATGACAAAGATGTAGCACAGCTTGGTGAGGAGCTTGTGCTCTCTTCTTCCGATGATGAGATCCCTGAAGGGGAGTCATCACCGAAACATGTCCCGTGCTCGGCCTCAGTTCCGCCTCAGCCGCTTTCCAGCAACCCCGAAGCTTTTGCGTCTCAGCTGCTCAAGAAGCCGTGGCTTGAGGCGAGCGATGTTTTGCAGCTTTTTGAGATGTTGCCAATGGCCGCGCCCCAGCGTGGAACTGAGGGCAAGGCCTTTGCTACCGGAGCGTTCGCTCGGGTCAAGGTTGGGTTGCGTACTAATGTTGCTGTTTTCCCTCAGGCGTCCCGCGTCTTTGCATCGTTCGTGCGCCAATCTGCCCCAGGGCATAAGTTCACTTCAGTTGTGGTTTTTGAAGGGGTTCGCACTAAACCCCACCGTGATCAGCAGAATTCTTGTGTGCCCAATTTGGTGGTTCCTTTGTCGAGTTTCGAGAAGGGTGAAATTTGGGTGGCCACTGACTGTGGCACTGTCTCTCGACGGGTCAATGGCCAGCAGCAGAAAGGAGTTCTCTTGCCCGTGGGAGCCGGGCCCGTGCTCTTTGATGCGCGTCGTGCTCTGCATCTCACTGAGCCTTGGAAAGGCCGCCGTGTGGTCTTAGTGGCCTTTTCTATCGGTGCATTTTCGAGGCTGTCCGCCGAGGCTTCTGCCCGCTTGTCTGCCCTGCAGTTTAACTTGCCAGACCAGTCCGATGCTGTTGCGTTCCAAGAGCGCCCGCAATTGCCGGTGCGTCTTCCCTGGCCGCCTCGATTGCCCATCCTTGCATCTGTGCCTTCGGTTCCCGACATTCCTAAGCCGACTGCTGGTGAGCCCTTGTTCTTAGAGCTATGTGCTGGTACTGCCATGTTGTCGCGCTGCTTTCATGAGGTCGGCGTCCCGGTCATGCCCATTGACCACCAACACAATCGGCACCTTCCGTTGGCTAAGGTGTGTAACCTCAGCCTCACTGAGGATTCGACCTGGGACTTCCTAAGACACTTGATTGACACTTGCGACATCCTGTTTGTGCATGCCGCTCCACCGTGCGGCACATGCTCTATGGCCCGGCATATCCGGCGCAAGGGTGTGTCTGCTGGCCCTCTTCGTTCAGAGCAGTTCCCTATGGGCTTGCCGTCCCTGAACGGCGTCGACCGGGCAAAGGTCGAGGCAGCCAACCAGATTTACACTAAGCTGGGTCTTTTCCTGCAGGACTTGAGTCGTCGTGCTATTCCTTGGTCTGTCGAGAATCCTGAGTCGAGTATGCTCTGGCAGCTGCCCTGTTTTCAGCCCTTGGTGAAGGACAACCATGTCTTCTCCTTCGACATGTGTTGTTATGGGGGGTCCCGTCTGACCCACAGGTCTTTGCTCACTTCGTGCTTTGGGCTACGCCATTTTCGCCAGCGGTGTGCCGGGGGGCATGAACATTTGCCGTGGACACCAAAGGTTGCCCCAGGTGGAAAGGTGCACTTCCCTACGGCAGACGAGGCGGCATATCCGCGCCCGTTCTGCGTGCAATTTGTGGCGCTCGTTTTCCGCCACCTTGGGCGGCCCCTGCCTGCCGCGCCTGCCCCTCAGGTGTCAGCCCAGGCGTCTGCCTCTTCAGCTCGCCAGCCCCGTGGGCGTCGTATTTGTCCTGTCATGCCTGAGTTCAAGCGTGTGCTCGTGTATCAGGTTGCTGCGTTGCCCCAGGTGGATCACAAGCGTCGCTTGCTGCAACCTTTGCGGGATGCCCCGGCGGGCTCCAAGCTTATCTCCTCGACGTCGTTGCTCTCTGAAGTGGGGTTGAGTAGCGCCTCGGAGACAACGGTTCAGGCAGATGCCCTAGTCGTCGATTCGAGCTCGTCTGAGTCAGGTGACAATGTGTCTCCAGTGGGTCCGGTTGACCAGGCCAGTGCGTGTTTTGAAGTGTCGCTGGGTGTGTATGCTTCCCCCGAAGAATTTGTGGAAGAATGCCTGAACGTTGAGCATCCCTTTGATCAGCTGCATGCTGCGCCTGATGTGCTCAAACAGTGCCTTTTTGACATGCTGACCAAAGGGCCTGCTTGGGTAGTGGATCGTAGGGCGAAGCTGCTCAAGAAGTGGACCCAGTGGGCTCGCGACCTTGAGGCCGAGGAAGCTGGCCTTCGCAAGTCGTTAGACCCTGAGGTTGCAAAGGTGTTGCAAGGCAAAAGGCTTCTGCTTCTTGAGAAGATTGCGTCGTCAATCGGCTGGGTTGACATGGGCGTTTTCGCTGAGCTTAGGAAGGGCTTTGATTTGGTGGGGCATGCAAAGCACACGGGAGTTTTCGCGCTTGAGCCCAGGCCTCCGAAGCTTCCGAAGGATGACTTTCTTACTGCCACAAAATTTCTTAGGCCAGCCCTACTGGGTAAGGTAAAATCGTCGTCCGTGGATCGCAATGCGCGTGAGCTGTGGGAAAAGACGATGCAGGAGGTGGAGAGTGGTATGTTGGAGGGACCTCTGTCGTCGCAGCAGCTGGACGATAGGCATCCCTCTGGCTGGTTGCCCACTCGGCGTTTCGGGGTGGAGCAGACTGCGCAAGCTGCGGCCTGTTGATGATTTCACCGAGAACAAGGTGAATCTTGCCTTTGGGTCTATGGATAAGCTGGACTTGAATGCGCTTGATCAACTTATCTGCACCTGCCGCATTTGGGCAAGGGCCATGTGTGGGGGGCATGATTGTGAGCTCGTGCTTTCCTCGGGGCTTGTGCTCAAGGGCCGTGTGCATCCTGGTTGGAAGAAGGCAGGGCATCAGCCGCTTCTGACCACGCTTGATCTTCGAGCTGCCTACAAGCAGTTCGCAGTGTCGGCCGACTCGCGAGCTTGGGCAGTTATCGCTTTGCTTAACCCTGATACGCTGGTGCCGGGCCTTTTCGAGTCGAAGGCGTTGCCTTTTGGCAGCGCAGCCTCGGTGCTGCATTTCAACCGTCTCTCGAGATTGTTGTGGAGGTTGGGGGTTGAGCTTTTGATCCCATGGGGAAACTTTTTCGACGACTTCCCTGCAATGTCACCGAGTGCCATTTCAGACAATACCATGAGTACAATGACTGCCTTGTGTTCCCTTCTCGGGTTCGCCTTTGCTGACGACAAGCTTAGCCCTTTCCAGCCTGCTGCCACCATGTTGGGGGTTGAGGTTGATTGTTCAAGGTGTGATGAGGGTTTGGTGCTCGTAAGGAACAAGCCTGGTCGTGCTGAGGAACTCGTCGTGTCTCTTGAAGAGTTTCTGCGCGAGGGAGTGATCTCTCGAAAGCGTTACCTCAGTCTCATGGGTCGGCTCCACTACACTGATTCATACATACTTGGCAAGTCGGGCCGTTTGATCATGGCGGACATTCGCTCGTGGGCAAAGGGGCATTGTTCCGATGAATTGGTCTTGGACGATGCAGCACGGGAATCGCTGCGTCTGTTCATTGCGCGTCTCCGTGCTTGTGAGCCTCGCCAGGTGCCTTGTGGAGTGGCAAGCCATGTTGTGCACGTCTTCACGGATGGCGCCAGTGAGGGTGAGGTGCACTCGATTGGTGGGGTCCTTGTAGTGCAAGGTAGGCTGCATTCGTGCTTTGGGTCACTTGTTCCCGATCACTTGATCAGCAAATGGACCTCCACGATGCGACACATTATCGGGCCGGTTGAATCATATGCAGTTGCCGTGGCAAGGCGAGTCTGGCACCAGTTCATTGCTTCGCAGCGCGCTTTGTTTTTCATCGATAATGTGCAGGCACAAGACTCCTACATAAAGGGCACCTCTGCCAACCCTCACGTGCGGGAAATCCTCCTTTCTTTCGAGGAGTCGGAGAAGCTTTCCCCTTCCTGGACGTGGTTCGCCCGTGTGGCGAGTCCAAGCAATGTCGCAGACGAGCCGTCACGTGCTGCCTTCGAGTTTCTGCATAAGGCTCAATGTCGCAGGGTCACTCCCTCGTGTCCCATAAGTGGTTTTGACCTTGTGGATCTTGGCGCCCTTGGAAAAATTTGAAAGTGGGGTGAAGGGGGCGGACGCCAGATCCGTTTCGCCCCATGCGACAAAAAGGAGTGCATCCGAGCTTTCAGGCGTGTGGGATCCGTTGCTTTGCGATTGCACCTTCATGTGAGTGCTGAGCTTTGCAATTCCCTTTCAAGACCTCTTAGAGTTTTCTTGGTGGTTTGAAAATCCTTTTATGAAAAGGGATTCAGTAGAAAGCAAGCGCATCTACGATCCCTTTTTCATTTTAGGACAGCGAGGGTACGAGCGTTTTCAAACTGAGATTTTCTTGGACATATGCCGTTGGTCACCTGTGCAAGCTTTGAGGGCACAATGCATCACTGCCTGTGCGCGTGAGTGTGATTGATGTGCAATGCAGTTTTGTGGGTCACGTTTTGCTTGACTTGCGTTTTCCTTCATGTGCAAAAATTTTCTTGAACGGGTTGCCATCCCGGCTTGCAACGCAGTGCTCAAGTGTGAGCGCCACAGAGAAAATTTTACCCACCCACCACTCCCTGCTCTGGCCCGGGTGCCATGAGCAGTTGTGTGCACTGCCGTGCTTTGACCTGCTTGACAGACTCTTCAGTCTCGGCCCTGCCAGGCTCGTTGGTTTCACATCGAATCCGTAGAAGCTGTAGCCACAGCTCCGTAGGCAGTAGCCCGTAGCTGGCGTGCGTGCTACTCTCCCACCCGCCTCACCCACGCCCCCGAAGGGGGCGGACGCCAGATCCGTTTCGCCCCATGCGACAAAAAGGAGTGCATCCGAGCTTTCAGGCATGTGGGATCCGTTGCTTTGCGATTGCACCTTCATGTGAGTGCTGAGCTTTGCAATTCCCTTTCAAGACCTCTTAGAGTTTTCTTGGTGGTTTGAAAATCCTTTTATGAAAACTGCGCTCTCCAATTTGTGGAGTTGCGAGACTCTTCTCGAGGGAATGGAGTTCTTGAAGGGTCAGATGCGTGTGAAGCAAGAGCCGGGAAGCATAGAGGACGATCTCCGTGTTCTCAGGCAGCAACATGTCATTAAGAAATTGAATTTACCCACATGTGCCGCAAACTCCCACGTAGCCTGTCGAAACGCTGCATATATAGCTTAGGCCGCAGATGAGATGATTGCACGCCTGGAAAGCCTGAAGCAACAGAAGACACAGACGGCCCTGGCCGTGGAAGTAGGACCCTCGGTTCTGAGAATCCCAGTTCCCGGCAACCCCGCACTCAGCCTGGGCCGAAACACAGAACATGACCCAGCCGGTTGTTCCAGGTGAAGCACAGCACCTTTCACAGCCAGCCGTTTCCCGCGAAGTTCCAAAGCCGGCCGTTCCAACCGAATCCAGAACCGGCCGTTCCAAGCGAAACCAAGCCACAGCTATCGTTTTGGAGGTTCGTATGTATGGGCTTCCACCTGAACCGGTTCCACAGCAAGCCGTTCGGAGTGAAACCCACCAAAGCGAAACGGGGCAGGTTCCAAGGCCACCCGTTCCAACCGAGCCCCACCAGGTTCCACAGACGGCTGCTCCACCCGAAGCCACATGCAGCCGAAGTCCCAAAGCCACCCGTTCTAGCCGAACCGCGCCAGGTTCCACAGACGGCAGTTCCACCCCAAGCCACAGCCGAAGTCCCAAAGCCACCCGTTCTAGCCGAACCGCACCAGGTTCAAGAGACGGCTGTTCCACCCGAAGCCACAACCGAAGTTCCAAAGCCGCCCGTTCTAGCCGAACCGCACCAGGTCCCAAAGCCGGCCACACATCTCTGGCAACACTGGGGTAACTTCGCCACGTGATGTTTGAGAGGATATAGTGGCTACATGGATAGCTTAGATGGCTTATAGACTTATAGATGTGCACACTGGATGCGAAAGTCCCCTCATGATTCCCAACTTCAGCACTCCGAGCCGCACGCAAGCCAAAAAGCAGTGAACATGAGACCCTGAATTTGCCACTGCCCCGTGAAAACTGCCACTTTATTCAGTAGCCTATTTTTTTTGGCGTCGAGGTTTTCTAGGCCTGAACCCTAAACCCACAGACCGTGTTCGGGCTGTTCGCGCTGTTCACGCTGTTCGCGCTGTTCGCGCTGTTCGCGCGGTTCGCGCTGTTCGCGCTGTTCGCGTTGTTCGCGCTGTTCGCGCTGTTCGCGTAGTTCGCGCTGTTCGCGCTGTTCGCGCTGTTCACGCTGTTCACGCTGTTCGCGCTGTTCGCGCTGTTCGCGCGGTTCGCGCTGTTCGCGTTGTTCGCGTTGTTCGCGCTGTTCGCGTTGTTCGCGCTGTTCACGTTGTTCGCGCTGTTCGCGCGGTTCGCGCGGTTCGCGCTGTTCGCGCTGTTCGCGCTGTTCGCGCTGTTCGCGGGGCGCTATGGTGTTCATGAGTGACTTAGTGAGGAGGATATGCCGGCAGATCCCCCTTTGCCGGGAAACCGCGCCCGCCGCGAGGCCGTGGCAGCCCTGCCGCCGTGGTGCCAGTCCTTTATGCATGCTGTCAGCGGCTGCCTCCACGTTCAAGGAGTCGAGATGCGGAATCGTCTTCTTTGTGGGCGGACGTTGTCTGACAGGTATGTTACCAGTGACGTTGTTGAACTCGAAGAGGGGCGTCCCCATTGCAAGCAGTGCTGGACCCACTCGAGCTTGCAGGACTAGAGAAAAAAGGAGGCTTGTTGACCTCGTCACAGGCCCCCCCCCCCCCCCTTTCCTCTCTTTGTGCTTGTCCTCTTCACCTGTCAGGCCATGGTATCCCTGGTTGACAGCAAGGCCGAGTTTAAAAGCAGAGCCGAGGACTTGCTCGGAAGCGACCCCTTCAAAAATCTGGTGAAAGAGAATGTGGAGTCCTTTGCCGCCCTTGCGTTCTCTGTCTGATCAGCCCAACCATATTGACGATAGCAAGCTGGAAGATCTGGCGAAAAAGATCTTCCCGGCGCCCGGGCCCACGTTGGGCCACGCAGGAGCTTTGCGACGTCTCGCCTTTGAAGGTTTGGCCTTCAGCCTGCAGGATTTGAAGGAGCGGGGCGACCCCGAGGCGTCCAGCAAGAAGTGCTTGCCCAGCCACGAAAGAGAGCACAAGAGGAAGGAGCAAGTTGCCCGCCTCACTGGAGTCCTGATGGAAGGTGACCTAGAGCCCTCCAACGGTCTCGTAGACCGCGCGGCGGCAATGTTGCACGATGGGCTTGTGCATTACATTCCGCCGTCCGCATGCGTGAGTCGCGATGCAGAGGTCGCCGCCGTGCGGCGGGACAAGGAATTCTTTGCCATCGAAAATGGCGAACTTACCCTCAAGAAGAAGGACAACGTGTTCAATGCGGACGTAGCAACCGACTTCAAGCTGCAGCAGGCGTTCGCCAGGAGAGGTCTGGCCCTGGACCGCGTCGGTCTGGTCTCCTTCAACGTGCACGAGCGTCTCGTGCGAAACTACTTCTTCTTGGCGAGCCGGGCCGCCCCGCCTGGCTACGCCATGCCCGGTGTAGGCGCAATTATCAAGGCTGACAAAGAGCTCTGGACGTTGCTGTCCCGAGAGTGTCGTGACGGGTGCAAGCCCAACGCGGCAGGCGTGGCTCCATTGGACGCCCTAATTGCAGCCAAGCAGAACGACACGTGCGTCACGTTCAGCCTCTTCCCCCTGCCACAGACAGACGGCCGGGGCCGCAAGGAGGGAAGGGCCGTGACCCTAAAGGATCTGGCAGGAGTCGCGCCCCAAAAGGCCGGGGCAGGGGGAGAGGTAAAGGGAAGCCTTCCGCTCCTACCCTCCCGGCCGAAAAGAAACCGCCGATGCCTAAAGAACTGCGCCCTTTCCAGCCGCATGACGATCACGGCAGACGTTACTGCTATGGGTTTAACCTGGAGGAGGGCTGTGACCTCCCGGCGTCCGGGAATCCTCCTGAGTGTGACCGCGGACTGCACGTTTGCATGTCCTGTGGGTCCAAGGACCACGGGGCAGGGAACTGTCCGGCAAACAAGAAGCGTGAGTGACTATCCCAGCCGGTAGTCGAAATGAGCAAGGCCTCGTCAGGCCCGGGTGAGTCGCCCGCTCCCACCCCTCCTTCCCCCCCTGGAAGGGCGGGTCGCGTTGCGATGCTGTTACGGGCCGTGCCCGTTGTCAGGAAGTTCAACCTCCAGCTGGGGGGTCAGCGTCCTCGCCTCTGAGCCAGCCCGGCCATGGCGATAGGGGCGTCCCTTTGTTTGTGGAAGTCTTCTGCGGCTTGGGACGTTTGAGTAAAGCCGCGAAGGATTTAGGCTTCCACACAGTGAGCATTGACAAAGTTTGCAAGGCTCAAGGTGTCAAGGTCCTGGACCTCTCCAGGAAAGAAGGGCGTTCCCTTCTCAAAGATGTCCTGGACAGGCCAGGCGTAGTTTGGGTTCACTGGGCCCCCCCGTGCGGAACGTTCAGTCGCGCCAGGGAAATTCGCCATCCGGGGGGACCAAAGCCGCTGAGGGATCGAAATTTCGTGGGGGGGCTGCCGTCCCTTAAGGATTTTCGTGACAGGGCACGCGTTCGTGCCGCGAACAGCCTTGTAGAGCTGATGTCCTCCTGGTGCCGACTTTTGTCCGAAAAAGGGGTCTGCTGGAGTATTGAAAATCCCACCAATAGCTTGATTTGGCTTTCCCTGGTTTGAGTGGGCTCGTGGCCAAATCTCACGTTGTCACGCTGCATGCGTGCATGTTTGGCAGTACCCGGCGGAAGAGCACCACGTTGGTGTCGAACCGCTCTTGGTTTCGTCGGACAGCCGTGCTGTGCTCTGGAGACCATGCCCATGAGTCATGGGGTCAGGTCACACATGAAGGGAAGCGTGTTTGGTCGACCTCTCTTGAGAGTGCTTACACGCCCCAGCTTGCCAAAGCGTGGGCGTCCTGCGCAGGGGCGGCTGTGAAGGACGTCCTGGAAAAAGCCCCCGTGGGGCGGAAACGTGCTTTCAAGGCGCTGTGCGAGCCGGACTTCGCTGTCAAGGTCACCCTAACGGGCGACGATGCCGCACGCTTCTTCAGCTTTTTCCCGCCCTGCAAGATTCCGCGCCACTGGGACCACTGGCCGAAAGGGTCGAAGCTCCTGGAGATCGACCGCGAGGGCGCCAACCCGCGTAGGGCGCGCTGTGTCCTCCCTCCCGAGATGCTCGTAGCTCTCGCAGCCGATGCCGCAGAGGACACCATTAAGCTTGCGAAGTCGCGTACGGAAGCGTCCCGTGACCTCCTTCGAGTTTGTAAGGGTTCCGTGAGCCGGGAGGCGGCCCTCCGTGAAGGTCTCGACCCCGAAGTCAACCACGTCACTTCCAGTAAGATGTCTGTAGCTCTGGAACTCTTGTTGCGCGAAGTGGGTCACGTCGACCCAGACGTCGCAGAGTCGGTCAGGGTAGGCTTCCCCCTGGTGAATAATTGGCTCCCCGTTTCGGGTTTGTAGGATGCCGACGTTCGGCCCCCTGAACTTACGGCCCCCGCTCTCCAACGAATGTCCGAAGAAATTTCTCAGCGGTGCGTCACAGGTCTCTGCCGGTACCGTGACCGAGCGACTGAGCGTGCTGTCTGGGCCGTGACCCGAGAAGAACAGGCCAGTGGGTGGCTGTCTTTCTGCAGCCGCGAAGACCTTTCCGCTCTGGCGGTAGTTTCTCCCAGGTTTGGAGTCTTCCAGAAAAATAAAGTGAGGCCTATCGACAACTTTAAAGCCAGCCTGGTCAACTCAGCCTGTGGTGTGCAGGAGAAGGTTCAGATGGACGGGATTGACGAGAAGGCCTGTCTTTCCTGGCTTCGTTTTCGTCTGCCGGGGAGCCCCCCTGAGCGCATCCTCGGTCGTACCTGGGATCTGAAGAGCGCTTATAAGCAGCTCGCCGTGCGAGCCGATCACAAGCACTTCGCCATCATTTGCGTCATGGACCCTGAGGCAGACGTTGTCCAATACTGCCGCTTGCACAGCCTGCCCTTTGGGGCAGTTGCAGCCGTGCATGCTTTCCTGCGGTGCAGCGAAGCGTTCCATAGCAAGGAACAAGTTTTTCATAGCTATGACCTCTTTTTTCGACGACTTCACGGTGCTGACGTCTGCAGCAAACGCGGCCCACGTTGAGGTCGTTGTCTCCTCAATGTTCAAGAAACTGGGCTGGCGCGTAGCCACGGAGGAGAAGAAGAATCGCCCCTTTTCCGAGGTTTTCGATGTTCTCGGCGTCCGAGTGGACCTGTCCCAGCAGTCCGTGGGTGTGGTACAGGTCAGCAACACGCCACAGCGCGTCGCTGAGCTTAAGGACACAGTAGCGGCGATTAAACAGAAGGGTTCACTTACGTTTGAAGAAGCGCAGCGTCTGCGTGGGCGTCTGGTGTTCGCGGAACAACACGTCTGGGGCCGTAACGCCAAACAGGCCGTGGTGGCTGTCGGGGACGTTTCCCCGGCCTCCGAAGCCTCGCATCCTTTGAGTGACGTCCAGCAAGCAGCTTTGGACTTCATTGAGCAACGCGTCCTGGATGGGCGCCCCCGGTCGTTCTCTGTTAAACCATCCAGAACGTTCCACCTTTGGCTGGACGGGGCATGTGAGTGGGATGTGTCAAACTCAGTGCCCACGTGTGGCTTTGGGGGTGTCCTCTGGCTGGATGGCGTGCCTTTAGCCTGGGGAGACACCCTGGACCCCGCCGCGGCGCAAGAATGGGCAAGCCGCGTCGGTAAGAAGCAGTTAGTTTTCGAGTGCGAGTTGTTGCCCTACTTCATATCGCTGCAGCTGTGGGGACGTTTCCTCCGAAACAGTGACCTTCTCGTTTTCATCGACAACGATGCCGCTAGAGCGTCCCTAGCCCGCAGTTTCACACGGAAAGAAGAGGGCGCAGCGATAGTGTTTCAGGCTGTGGAAGCGGAGGAGCGTCTCAGCATCGACGCTTGTTTCTTGAGGGTGCCCACCTCTAGCAACATCGCAGACGGGCCAAGTCGCGGGGTTTTCGACACGATCCTCCGTCTTGGGGGTCGTAGGGTCCCCCTGCCGTGCGGGGCGATACGCAGTGCGTTGGGCCTCTCAGGAGCTGTCTAAGGTGGGGTTTCCTTGGCGTTCGAGGCTTTATAAGATGGGGTACGTTACCTCACGCCGGAGAAGTTCTGGCTCCCAGTGCATCAAGCTGCAACGGCAGCCTGAACTGATCCCCACCGTCATCTCCCAAAGAAAAGGTGCTCGCGTTCCGGCAGTTATGCAATTAGGATAAGCTTCCGATAAGCTTCCTTCACGCGTGCGTGATTGTGCTTTATCGTTAGCTTAAACGAATGCGGGCAACGTTTGCCTAACAAGTTGTTAAGTCGGGAGACGGGGGAAACGTCAGCCCATGCAGTCGCTTGAAGCTCGAAGCGTAGCTTCCTGGTTTTTCTGTCCCACCCTCCACTCCCTTTGGTGCTAGTCGTACTAGCCTACGTGAAGGTTCACGTAGGTGCTGTTTCGCTTCAAAGAAGCGTCTATCTTGGTGTAGTGTTTGATCTCTGGGGGGGTACGTTACCTCACGCCGGAGAAGTTCTGGCTCCCAGTGCATCAAGCTGCAACGGCAGCCTGAACTGATCCCCACCGTCATCTCCCAAAGAAAAGGTGCTCGCGTTCCGGCAGTTATGCAATTAGGATAAGCTTCCGATAATATCTCAATAATATGTTAAATTGACTCCGGTGTTTCGCTCGCTACGCTCGCACTTATTCACATTGTTGGTAAAAAGACGCGCGATTCCTCACGGGGAGGCCCTTGGGCGTCACGAGACTTCTCGCCGTTTCCACACTGTCACGGGGTTTCTGGTAGCATGCCACTTACAATCCAGTGTGTAGAGGTGAAGCCTTTATGTTTGTCGAGATGTGACACTGACGCATGTTCTTTGCTTGCAGCGAGCCGGTTCAAGTTCTCGTCGGCATCTCAGGCCTGTTCATGGTATGTGTTGCAGAGGCTGAAACTGAGCAGCTTTTCCACCCGTAGGATCCTTGCCCGGAGTGCAGCTGGGTATGTTATCGGTCACAGTCAAACCCTCCGTTTTAACATTGGGGGTGTCAGAGCGAGGGTTTGCCTTTGCCAGGTGGAACTTGGTCGTAGCAGCTTCTTGTTTTGCATGCTGCTTTCCTACGTTGAACAGCTCACAAATCTACTCGTGTGTCCGGCAAAATCAAAACAGTTGTGCAGCTTTAGCTTTGCTAGCTTTGCGTAGCTCTGGCATGGGTCCAAAGGTAAGTACAATGCTGTGTGTTTGAACAAGTGCGAATCACGAATTACATCGGAGCTAGGTTTTCCGACCCAAGTGGCAGGTGCCCGTCCTGCCTTCCGTGGCCAGGGAATGCCCAGCCTCGTGGCTTCAAGGCACACTTCGGCCGCCTAGCCTGAGCCTCCCAGATACCGCGTGTTGTAGCAAATGTCCAAGTGGGCCTTTCCTTTTCACATGCAAGAAGCGCACCCTGTTTGTTCCACCACGTCGCAGCCCTCCGAACAGCCTCACGGGAAAACGTTCTCAGACTGCCACCGCGTAGCACAATCCGGCCACCGTTCGGGCCCTCGCCTAGAGCCGCATGCAGCCAAGCGTGCGCCCCTGCACCCCAGCCCTCAACCCAACGCCTTGACTTGGGGGGCTTCAACCCCATGCAACAACGGGCTCGCTGCAGGGCTGCGTGCCAAGCCCATTGGATTGAGTTTTTGGATTGCCCTCGTTGCCAAGAAGGCCAGCACAGAGCCGCGGCCCCACACTTGCCTCCGCCGCCCTCTGTCCTGTCCGGTAAAAGTGCACAAAACACAATGCCGCAAACGCACAGCCGGTTTCCTAGTCTCACGCTGACAGGTGGTGTGACCGCTTCTGCAAGTAGCTTGCGTCGTGAAGTCCACGATTTTCCCGTCTAGATTGGTGCCTTACCGCTCCTTTTCTGTTACTTCCGTGGCGGCCTGCTGGGCTTCCGGCTGGTCGTGGCCCAGAAGATGTTTTAGCTTCCTCAACTGGAACTCATTCAGTCTGTTGAACCCAGATTCCCTCAAATTCTGCAGAGAAGGAGGCTTCCAAGTTCCTCCCACCAGCTGAATGCTGGCCTTTGGCTCTCGCAGGGTCTCCATGAAAGCACGGCTAATCTTGCAGCTTTCCAAAGAAAACACCATGCCCTAAGCCATCTTCCTCAAGGGCTCGGAAGAACGAGCCTGTTGTCTCCGGTGCCCAGTATGTCCAGTAAGGGCCACAATGGTCACGCTGTCACGCTGAACCTGTTTCTGCTCCAGATGGCCGTTTCTTGAGTTTTGCTTGTCGCATTCACGTAAAGTTGCACCTTCGGGGTGGTATGTACTGAAGTTTCCAGATGCCTGCTTGAGCTTGAGTAAATTTCGTCCGGACGCAATGCGTAGCAATGGAAAGCCGCTGCTTCTTTTGCTGCAAGTTGTAGATGAATGGAAGCTAGGCACAACTGCAGAAAGTGTTGACACCACAAACTTTTCGATCATGGTGTAATCGGCGGTACTACACAAACCAGCTGAGCACAACTATGCGTGATGTCCGATGACAACGTCGTTTTTGCAGGTACATCTTTGCGCATTCGCAGTGTGCGTATCGCTTGTGTGATGGCGTCGCCACGATGACATGCAAAGTGATTTTGATGCCAAATGTGTTTAGAATTGAAAACTTGGTGCCGGAATTTTCTTTTAAACGTGTCCTCACGCCAAAGTGTCGGATGCAGTTGAAGCTGCCGATTTCCTCCGTTGTTTGCAGCGAGAGGCCCAGAAAGGGTCCTGGGGTGCTGGCCATGACTCTGCCGTCTTGGGCATTGGATTACCCGGTATTGGAGGTGCGACTGTCCAACACATCACTGAACTGTCTTGTCGATGTCTCTTGTCAGGAACGCAAATTCCCAAGCCGATATTCTGGTGATTACTTTCGTGACACCCTTCCGCCCGACCTGTATGAGCTGGAGCAAGCCGTGGTGGATGGCGACGTTTTCACGGTGCGCAAGCTGTTGCAGGCACCTGGCCATGTGTGAATCTTATTTGAGTTGAGCCATTCAAGTCTTTGCGTCAGACTCTGTTTTTTGCCTTGAAAGAGGCTGGCGTGAATGCAAATGCCCCCTTGGACAGCAACCACATGACAGCCTTGATGATTTCTTGCATGATGGGAAACTGGGACCGCCAGAGCATGTGAATGAGATTTGGTGTAGAAATTAGTGTCTGTGGGTGTGTTGAAAAGTGACAGCCGCAGGACCTTGTCCAATTGCTGGTTGAAGACTTCGAGGCTGATTTGGATGGCCCACTGTCCCGTGCAGGACTTGCTCGTGTGCACGGTGCAAGCAGTGCAGTCAGTAGGTATCTGATTGCTTAATTTGTCACTAATCTGCCTTGCAGGATTGCGTGCCATCGACTACGCCGGGTATGAGGCGATGCTCTGCTATCGAAAAACACATGTAAGAGTGCCCACACAGCATCTGACCATGTTGTCGTGCTTGGCTTGGAACTGTATTTTTGGCAGGGATACCGCTTCCCCAATGAACATCCGATATGTGCCTCGCTTGTTTCTGTGTGCTGTCGCATCCTGCGGCAGATTCTGGCAGATTCTGGCAGATTCTTCATGTCCACGCTGAGGTGAATATTTGAAAAGCAAGGGCTCTCAGCACACGTGGTGGGGAGCATGCTGTGCAGGCACATTGGCTGGCCCATTACAGAGCTGCGTCCGAGTCCATCATGTTGTGATTGCAGAGCTGTTGCTGTGACAGGCGACTTCAACCGTGTCAAGGAGTACATAGACAACGGGCAGGTGTGCCTTCTTTTCTTGATCAGGGTCATTTTGCATGTTGTTACGTGCTCAAAGAAGCTGGCTCGCTTGCACATGTGGGCTGACGGCAAGTGGATCTGCAGGATGTTGATGAGATCAACCCAGTTCTATGGAACGGCAATGCAGTTGCTTGCCTCGTATTGGTATACCATGCTCCATTAGTTTTGTTTTCATGCGCTGGAACTTAAGAACAATGCAGCCCTTGGTTCGGCTATACGCACACTCTGCAAGGTCTTTATTGCCAAGGACACCGTTCCACCGTGTGCTCGGTTCATATAAGCTGCTCACAGAAAGCTTGTCTCTAAGCGCGTCGCAAACGATAGACGGTCTCAAGTCACAAACGAGAGATTTAATGCAGTAGGTAGGTATGCAGGCTACGTCGAGATTTTTTTTACACATAAATGGCGCTTTGCAGGAAGTGCTCGTGCTAAGAGATTGCATCTTGTGTGGCTTGCAGAAACGTTGAAGCGTGTTCCCGAACAATGTCACACGTTCTCTTTGAATCACGGGCAGGAGTTTGGGCATAGCAACATTGCCCAGTATCTGCTGACAAAAGGAGGGACTGTAGTTGTGCTCAGCTTAGCCAGCGTAGCCTCCAGTGAGACAGATGCCTTGCCTGACGGAAGCAGAAAGCATGGGAGAAAGTGCAGGTCAGAAATTGCCACACCATCGACACACATGAGATGAAATGGTCAATCGGCCGTGGCGACTGCTTCTTCTACAAGGTGTGGTTTTCTTTGCTCTTGTGCTAACTTTCGGATTCGTGCATGAGCAAGAGGCACGACTTAGTGACCGTTGCGCAATCGTTGGGAGGCTTGCAATCTGGAGCGTCCAGGGGCAGGTGTCTCCACCTGTGTGCTCTGCGTGCTCGTGCACATAAGACTCAGCAGTGGCACAGGCGTCATTGACAACGCCTACCTGCCCGAATATGAGTGAAGGTCTTGGCCACATGTCCGTTGAGCTGCGTTGCACGTTTGCACGCTTTGTGGCCCAAAGGTGACAGCTCTTCCACAAGTTTGAGCCAGTCTGCAGCTGGCTGCTAGCATGTTGAGTACATGGGCCACTTTATCTATCGTTTCGTTTGTTTCTGAAATACGCAAGTTTGTGTAGCTGGTTGTGCACAGTGCAAGCAGCGATGTATTGCAAAGTTTGTAGGTTTTGTTTGGCATGCCTTCCACGTATGTCTTCTGTAAGGTGCTGTGCAGTGAGTTCAGCAAAAAGCAGAGCCGCAGAGTGTGCCATGTGCGATGTTTCTGACAGACCAGCATCTGCAGCAGTTCACTTGGACGTGATTTCGCAGATGACTTGGATCCCTACTAGGCAGAAATCAACAATGCATGACCGTTAACATAGCAGGGTCTCTTCGGCTAAAAGTGAGTGTTATCACCACCACCACATCACCCACCTGACTGTTATTGTCTTACTGCTTTTTGCAGCGCCGCCTGCTGAGTATGTACAGCTGCTCGCATGCTGCTTTCGCAGCCTCTGCGCTTGACTCGCAAGGCCTTGGCTCAGCCAGGCAGGCATCTAGTGGTTCAAGTCAGCTTGTGAGTCGGAATAGGTTGCTTTGGACGAGCATTTGCAGAAGCCGGCGCCTGCTACTGTACCGGTCTCAATAAACGGCTTGCTGTCCCATTGCTGTGATATGTCGGCTTGAAGCTGACCGGTGTGCTGATGCGTGCCGCAGTGTGAGGAGACTGGAGATGGTAGACCGATTGTTCGAATCCGTGCGTCGGGGCCGTTGTGTCAAGAATCAAGAGTCGCAAAGTTGAGGAAAGACGTCGGCAAAGCCTCCGCAGCTTAGGTCATCACAAAGCAGTGCAATCGGATGGTATGTGGATGCGCCTGGAGCTCAGAAACATGTCTGCAGGTGAGTGTGGCATGGTTGTGGAACCGCATTAAACTATCACAGCAATGGGAGACTGCCCGATTGACTGGTCATACCTGCAGGGATGTTTATGTGATGTTTGTGATGCACTTCATCATATCGCCAAACCAGGAAGTGGAAGGTTCGAAGACGTTCTGAGGCTTCAAGCTTTAGTAACTCCTAATATGGCGGGAAGTAACCTGCGTGTCTGTGGTTTGCGCACGGAAAAGGCAGTTTTTCCGTGTTTTGCATCTATGGACAATGACTTCCTTCCGTGTGGTCTGGCCACGTAACACGTTCCATGTTTCCGTTCACGGCAAAATGGCTGCTTTTCCGTGAATGTTTCTGTGGAGCCATCGTGAACCAAGAAGATGTCTTTTTTTCATAGCCAAACCAACTGCCGCACATTACTTACCTCATCTGAATTCGAGCATCGGCGAAGGGAACATGGGCAATCATGGGCAATCTATAGACATGGCCTGCGTAGTAGAAGCCCAGTCCGGCCCTGAAGAAATGGGAGTGCGCAGACGCCGGACGCCCCGGCTCTTCGGTGGTTTCCTACTTGGGTACCTTTCCTAGCGTGCGCGACTGGTTCTAGCTTTTTGGTTCTAGTAGTGAGCGTCGTTCGCTTGAGTGGCCGCAGCGCGTGATTGCGTTTGCAGATGATACATGGGCAACGGGAAATCATGTCATTACCACAACTTAGGCAAGGAACCATAGAGGCTGGTCTCGACTCTTCGAAAACGGCAACTCTTTCGTGCTGAGGTGAAGAGGGAGCAGTGAAGCTGGTGCTACAGGAACCTCACGACGTGAGCCAGTCTCAAGAAACGTACTGGTATCTGGAATCGTCCCCAAGCGGGTTTTGCTAAACGGGAACGCGGCCGAGGCCCACATACACGAAACTTTGTTCCTGACAGAAAACACGCAAAACAAGCCAGAATACCTGAACCAAAAATTAGCGCTCAGCCAGGACGTTGAGGGTTTCGAGTTGGAAAACGCACAACGGGCGATACACGGGTCTTGCACACATAGACCTCAAACCGTGAGAGCATGTGAGCCCATACGTCCAAGTGCAAGCAGTTTGTCATAAGAACGCATGGTCCGGCCGGGGGCGGAATGATGTGACCTGTTCACAACTTGACGATCTTGACGTTCGAACCCCTTAGTGCTGACGCAGTTGACACACTGTTTGGAGAAAATAACAACGGTTCGCACCTAGCTGAAGGAAACGCAAGATGGAGGCTAGAATATAAGTGGAGAGCGCAGTTCACCCAGCAGGCCGAGGGTTTTCCGATCGGAAACGCGCGTCGGAGGCTGGCATACGTAGAAAAGACCAATTCGCCAATTCGTGCCTTGCAGAAACCAGCACGTCGAGGAGTTTCCCTATGGGAAAACACGCAACGGAGGTTGACTACGCGGCAAAAACCATGTCAGACGCGGAGGCACGTTGAAGCTGTTCCTATGGGCAAACGACGGAAGATGACGGAAGCCAAAAGGAGTCAAGTTTTCGCCCAGCGCATCTCAGCATATTGAAGGAACTCCATTGGGAAAATACATGACGGAGGCTGGAGTCAAGAAACAACAAGTCCAACCAACACGGCACGACGGAAGTTGCAACGTGTAAGAAAAACCATCCGTGTATTGATGGTTTGCCAATGGGCTGGTCGTACTCAGTACATGAATTTTCTTCTGGCAAATTGCATCACGGAGGTTGGAATATGGAAAAACACGTCGTTCCCATCACATTCAATGGGAAATGCATGACGGAGGAACCGCTTGGAAACACCAAATCGCACTCAGCAAGTTTAGCGTTTTCCTCAATACTTGGACCAATTCGTACCCAACATGTTGAGGAAGCCAGAATTCTTGGAAAAACACCAGTCGGAGGCTGGAATACGTGAGGAGAATATGAATCTCCGCCCAGCACATTGATGTTTTCTCCTACGGAGAACTGCGCGGGGCGGACGCCAGAACATTGGCGAAAAGGCAAGTTTGTGGACCATGAATCTTGCATAGGCTGGAGCTAAGGCAGCGGAGTGTCAAATCCGACCAGAGGGATTCTGATTCGCGCAAGCCTCAGAGATCCTCAGAGGTGCCAAGAGTTACAGAGAGTTTACTAATGGAGGCATCTGCACCTTATTTTGGGGCCGAAAGGACTTTCGTAAGCGCGCACAAACCTGGCATTGCTGGTGGCGATTGGCAGCTGGAGCGTGGATCTGCTGACTTTCAGTCATCATCTGAGTTGACTCGGTCTTGATGCCGTGTGGGGCTGGGCGTTGCTTGCTTCTTGAAGATCACCCTCTCCACGCCGCTTGCATCCCCCAGATCCCCAGCAGACGTACCTCGACGTAGACACTTGTATTTATAGAGGGGCCCTTAGAAGGGTTCGGTGTTTTATTGTTCCGAGGTCTGGCTCTCCTTTGGTTCGGCAGTCTCCTGTTGTCCTGTGGTCCCTGGTCCTGTGGTCCTTTGGTTGGCAGTCTCCTAATCCTGTGGTCCCTTGCCATGGGTTCTCTTGGTCCTGTGGTTCCCTGGTCCTGTGGTCCCCTGATCCTGTGGTGCTCGAGTGCTAGGCAAGTCGGGAAAAGTACACATGAGTCACGCCGTGAGTCGAGAACGTGGCCCACCCGAGTCGAAAACGCCCGGGAACCCTGAGTCGAAACCTTCACGGACACGCCCCCAGAAAACACATGCAGGACGCCCGAGTCGAAAACACGTGTACCCTCATCAGAAAACTCGACTCCCGTGCGGTTTTGTTCTGCCTGACGGCTACAAAATGGTCCTATACTCGAAGACAGGTCTAAAATGTAGCCGTCTATGAGAGACGTCGATAGACCCCTGTACAGACCCTATGGTTTTTCCGATAGGTACCTATGCCGTCAACCTGTTCTCAGCATACCAGACCCCTATGCATAGACCCTATCCCTTTTGTCATAGACCCCTATGCATAGATCCTACCCTTACTTATAGCACATCCCTATGTCGCATAGGCCCCTATGCATTTTTCCATAGGCTCTATTGCCCTCATAATAGACCCTATTATATTGGAAACCTATAGACCCCTATGCCATATCAATCCTTATGCTCATATAACTACAAGCCTTTCAATGTATCCTTAAACACCTCCTCGGAGTAATCTATGTTCTTGATAACCTGCATGCGTGTTCAGTTTCAATATACGTGACGCTCCTCTGGGGTTTTTAGGGTTTAGTGTTTTTTTGGTTTAGGGCTCAGGGGGTTGTAGGGGTTCGGCCTTTACGGTTTTCAGGGTTTAGGGTTTAGGGGTTTTTGGGGTTTAAGGTGTTTTTAGGGTTTAGGGCTTAGTAGTTTTTAGGGTTTAGGGCTGAGGGTTGTCAGGGTTTATATCAGGGTTTGGGGTTTTTTCGGGTTTCAGGCCGGTGTTTTTCGGGTTTAGGGTTTTTTGGGTTTAGAGTTTCGGGGATTTTAGGGTATAGGGTTTTTTGAGGCTCATGGCCTCTAGACTACGAAGCTGTCTAAACTTGTGCTCAGGAGTTCCAGGGATTGTTGGCTCAGGGCGTTTTAGGGTTTAGGGGTTTAGGGTTTTTAGGGTTTAAGGTTTTTTAGGGTTTAGGGTTTTTGGGCTTAGAATTTAGGTGGTTTTAGGGTTTAGGGCTCAGGGCTTTTCTAAGACCCTCACCGCTACACCCTGAAACTACTCCCACCTTCTGCTTCTATATAGGCCTGTATTGTCTCCATATTTCCCTGTATAATCTCGAAACAGAGCTATATATCGACTATGTAGCTCAATATTGTAGGATGGGAAGCTGCAAACTGGCGTGGCATGGCAGTTCATGACAGGTCAGATTGATGTGCAGGCCGTGGGCCCAAAAAAACATTTGGGGGGGGCGTTGCGGGGGGGTTGGGTTGGGTGGGGGTTGGTTGGGCGGCTGGGGGGGGTGGAAGGGGGGGGTTGGGTGTAGCTCACCGCGACACCGGGAAATCCAAGCACTCTCTGGGGGAAAAACAGCTACACCCACCACCCGTCGCTGTGTTGTAGGTATTTCGGGCTGGCCAGAGAGGCCGGTGATTAGCTTCAAAGTCCCATGCC